CCTGAGAGCCGATAATATCACGAATTTCTCATAGAACCCCTCAACAGTGGCTTGCTTTTTTGGCAGCCGATTCGGCCATCGAACCGGAGTTTAAATGGAAGCTGATAATAACCCAAAGCTCTGAGAAAAATTTTGAGATGAGTATAAGAACGGTTTGTTGTAAGTAGCGAGGAGAGGCGGGCAAAGCGGCTAAAATCCTATCTAATTTTTACAGTTTTTCTGTTGAATTAATGTTGCCGCGGGCTTCTGACTGTCCACACATAGTTCTGTTCAGCATATCGATACATAAGTATTTACATTTTACATACGTAGAATCTAATTTTCACGTCGGGGAGTTGACATATTTTGATTTTTTCGATTTTATACGGAAAATTGATGGTTTTTCGGGATTGAAATTATTATTGTTTCATGAAAAATAAATGCACCCAAAATGACTATAGCATATTGATTCTTACACATTTGCACTCACAAAATTGGTTGGTAAATTCAACGAGTGGGTGCATCGACCTGGTATATCAAGTTTCTGCAATTTTTTACGGCAAATCAGTAGATTTTCGGGATGTAGATTGCTTACTTTCAATTCATGAATGAATAAAGCAACGACATGGTTGAACTTCTTTGCATGGAAAGACGTTTAAAATAACAAAATCAAGACGTATTTAATGCAATTGCATTTATATCGAGTCAATTTCTTTTCAATAATATAACGGGATTTTTACTACCGGTGATTTGGGTATTTTAGCCCCAAAATACCTTTAAATCGACTTTATCTTCTAGGAGTTCGACAGAATTTTTCCTTTCTTCGCTTAAATTATTCCGTAGCACTTTTCTTCAAGAATCTGATAAGATTTTGCTTGAGGCAGATCAAAAAACTTAAATTCGATCGAATAGCTTTCTACTTTCACAATACACGGTCTCGTCAAGGTGCGTCTTTGACCTCGCAGTGTTGGATCGTGAATTCTCTTTTTATGCTGTTTGCCTATTTTGAAATCTCTGTAAATGAAAACTAAAGGGGTTGATATGTGCGAGTTAATGACGCGCCTTATCAACACATTGTGTTGGAGTTCACTGCTTGTTTCATATTCTTGCATTTTAATCAGGCTCAGACTGGCCATAAGGCCAATCTGCCATTGGCAGATACGCCCCCTTTGCGCGCCGAAAACGTGCCCCTCTTACAGATAGCAAAATAAGAAGAAAAAAATTTACGACCGAGAATATGTGAGAAAAATTTATTAAATGAACGGAAGAAGAGAGAGTTAGGAGTGAAGAAAGGTGCTTTATCACATGATAGTGGTGAACAAAGGTCCAAGAACTACTTTCTGAGGCTTAAACAATTTTCTATGAAATTGTCACCTTCTTCTTGACATACAGGCGCTTTATCATCCCCCTTCTTCATTCGTTATGTGTAACTCCCTTAGAAGCGATGGTCGGTTCGATTTTTAGACATACTTATCCTTTATAGACCTCTTAAGAGACCTTTGAACATATTTCCTCCTTTTCAAATGACTATTGATTTGGACGTACCATAGCATAGCTTGGGCAAACTTAACCTTAATTTATCTCGAAATTCAAAAATAAGAGACATCTAAAATGTAAACGCGACACAACTATTCGCGCAAGATTGATGTCCACATTGCATATGAAAAATGTAAGACGCGATGCCGTGAGTCGTGAACTCGCAATGCTCTGCCCTAGTTTGAAGCAACATAACATAAGACAAACGCAAACAAACACAATATCGAAATAAACGGAGGGAAAGGATGCGCGTTAACGACGGCGCAGAGATACAACTATTCGTACTTTCTGGACGTCCGGGCTGCGTCTGAAAAATTGAAGGCGCGATGATGCGAACCGTGAGCTCTCAATGCTCTGCTTTATGCTGTCAATGAAGCGGCGCTCTGATTCGGGAAAAAAGTTTAAAAAAAAAACCTGAAGACATCTCTCCTACCTTCGGCTGTATTACTCACGTAGTGCTTGAAGCACCATTACGAATAAGACAAACGGAAACAAACACAATATGGAAAGAGGGGGAGTGAAAGGATGCGTGTTTACGACGGCGCAGAGATACAACTATTCGTACTTGACGGACATCCGTGCTGCATCTGAAAAATTGAAGGCGCGATGACGCGAAGCGTGAGCTCTCAATGCTGTGCTTCACGTTCAATTTTGCAATTTTTACTCCGTGCGATCAATAAACTTTGAACCTGAAAATAGCGTAAACTAGCGCGGATTTGCCAACATTTTTTGAACCCCTCCCACGTAAGGAATACCCTACCAGAAATATCACATTACACCCCTTTAACCAGCCAAGGGTCTACGCCCTCAGATGCGAGCCAGTCCGACAATGATTTTAATTGAGGCGCCTGGAGGATAAATCTTTTAGGTGCAGTTTTTGGAAAAATTAAGATATATATGGTTTTATGTAAAACTGGTCACAACAACAATTGGTCTCTGAAAAATTCGCTCCTAAATTTCAAGTTGTAAGCATAAAAAATTGTCAGTTTTCTTTCCACAGTATAAGGATCCATGTAATTTCGAAACTTCAAACACGTAAAATAATAAAAACTGAACTCATGCTTCTTGTCCTCCAAGCTCCTCAATTTTAAGTTGTAAGCATAAAAAATTGTCAGTTTTCTTTCCACAGTATAAGGATCCATGTAATTTCGAAACTTCAAACACGTAAAATAATAAAAACTGAACTCATGCTTCTTGTCCTCCAAGCTCCTAAATTTCAAGTTGTAAGCATAAAAAATTGTCAGTTTTCTTTCCACAGTATAAGGATCCATGTAATTTCGAAACTTCAAACACGTAAAATAATAAAAACTGAACTCATGCTTCTTGTCCTCCAAGCTCCTCAATTTTAAGTTATTCTGCTTCGTTCATTCCTCAGTCATGAAGACCAACTGGCACCCTATAATCCTCAGCACAATGGTATTTTTTAATCTGTATTCCGATATTATCGGAAATGTTGAGCAAGGAAAATGTATCATTTTATTTAAAAGTAACCGAAACTCGCCAAAAAAATTCTGTCGGGTCACTTCCGTTATAAATGAAACTGAGAGGACTGCGGTGCTGTTTTTATCTATTAATCAATCCTTTGATAATCGAACTTTTATAGATGAGAGGACCTCTTATTTTTTGTTTGCCTGAAACTTCTTATCTGATGAGTGTATCAACTTTATTTCAAAGTTTTTAAGAGTTCCGTTACGAAACATCATTGATAAGCGGAAACCATTAACGCAATGCGCTTGACAAGTAGTTTGAATAGAATACGAAAGGAAAGCCGTTTTGAAAGAGTCGTAAGCATACTCAGAAAATATTTTTGTTCTGAGGAATCCGATATCCACGATTTGGATGGTTTGGAAAACTATTTTATTTGGTCTTTATAAGTTCCTATGTAAGTGGGACCCCGAATTTGAGGACACTGATACGGCCCGTCACAATAAACGATGTTGAACCTTACTTTTTAGTTTGGTAAACAAAACTGAACAGTGGTCCATGATACTCACACTTTGGCACCTACACAGACAGAAATTTCAACACAAAAGTTTGGTCACTACGGGAAGTAATACACAAAGCAACCTTAGCCTTTGGTTGACGATTTCAAGAGAAAATACCAACTAGTTTTCGTGAAGAAATTTAATAAAAAACGAGTAGTGATTACCAACTTCGCAATCGAAGTAATGCATTTTCCCAGTCTCTCCATTGTTTTCTGAGCTCAAAGTCACCGCAAACCGTATCACTATCAACACAAAACTTGCGTTGGTTTGTGTTACACGTCCCATATTAACGGAAAGTAACACAGGAACACAAATATTTTTATCAGTGCATAGAACTGACATTTTATTTTCAGTGCAGTGATGCTCCGGAACTAGCCTTGCAGAGTGTTTCATTACATCTTTACCAGGCCCATTCTATAGACGCGCAAATTTTGGTCGAACCCTTCTGCGAAACTGCATGCATCTCTACGGGAAAATTATAACTCTCCAAAACTAAGCACATAGATAAATGACAGTGTGCTGTTTGACAAATCCTCGTCAAAAAGGTGGACCTTCGTGAACCGGGCCGTGCATCCGAAGGAACGCCTTTTCTTGGTATTTGCTGAGAGGCTCAGTAAAAATGAGTTTAACAACGGCCGTAACGCTGTCTCTTTGTGATCTGAGACGCCCCTTGATAAGGTGCCTCCTCTTGCAAAAAAAAAAAACTCCTATAGTTCCAAGCTCATGCTTGCAATAAACAAGTGGACGTATTTCTGTCAAACGGAACTACGCGTCATAGGGAGAGGAAGGTATAGAGGGGGGCTTGGATTGGCGGCGGAACCGGGCGTTGGGCTCATTCCGTCCTATACTCGCAATGCTTTTCCATGGCGCTAAGTTTCTAAGCGCCATGGAAAAGCATTGCGAATACAGGACGGTTTGACAGAACGCGGTATCCGGCATTCTAAATTCCTCAAAAGGAACTCATTGACGCTTAGTTCCGTTTGACAGAAATACGTCCAAGTGTCCAACATCCAACAAGGAGGCTATCCGGTCACCAGCAGCCTGATAGTTGAAATTTTGTGCTCGTCGGGTGGACACAGATGACACAGGTGAAAGGCGAAGCGTGATTGGTCGACTATGTCTTATCGCTGCTTTATCGTGCCTTTGTCAGGTGGAATGGACGACATCCTGTCGGAAACATAAGAGATGCCTTAAGTTAGTCGTAAGTTCCACCCGACATAGATACGACAAAGCAGCGATAAGACGTAGCCGACCAATCACGCTCCGCCTTTTCACCTATGACATCTATGTCTACCGACAAACACAAATTTTCAAAAACCAGGCTACTGGCCGGGAATCAAAGCCGGGAACTCCCGATCTTAGAGCAAGCGTCACAACCACGACACCACTGGAGGCCGACCTACGCGACAAGAGGCGGACAATGATTCTTAATGATTGGTTTTTGTGTAGCTTGAGCCATTTGAGCGTGAAACTGATGTTTGTTGTGTTTCCGTGTTGCAGATGTAAGGGGCGCCCTCGGGTCAGAGTGGTTGTCGGGGAAAGGGGAGTGGTCTTGGGTGGAGCGTCGCGTGGTGTCGGCGTGGCGCCTGGCGTCGTCGCGGTGGGCGCTACGATGCTGAAAGCGCTGAGCAGCCTCGCGGAGAAAGTGTCGCCCAACACGACGGACAGCAACGCCAACAAGTTGGGCTCCATCAGCGCCAACAGCTACAGCTACAGTCACAACAGCCACCCGCACCCGCACCCCTACAACAACCACAACGGCAACGGCCACAGCACCCTCAACGGCAACAGCCTGGCGCACCGCCAGAGCCCCCGCCCCCAGGCCCCCCTCGCACCTCTAGCCCCCCTCGCTATCACCAATGGCAACTCCGAACACAATAACAAGTAAGTCACTCTGGACTAATCCCTAATCGAGCGAATCGACCAGCTACGAATTCAAATGCTATGCAAGATTTTTTCTCCTCCAAGAATTTTAGGTTTTGTAGCTCTCAGAGGGTATGGATTCGATCGACATGAATCGATCGAAAAATGAAAACGTGAATCGAACGACATGAATCGTTCGACTTCGACTTGATCGACGTTAATTTGAAAACACCCGTGTCTATTTGATCGACATGAATAGATCGAAAAATGAAAACGTGAGTCGATCGACACCGATTCGATTGACAACCGTGAATCGATCGGAAAACCTGTGAATTGATCGACAAACCCATGAGTGGATCGACAAACCCGTGAATCGATCGACAAGCCCATGAATCGATCGAATTCGAACTTCCTCGACGAAGGTTTTTCCCACCATCCAGAATTTCTGGGGCGGGNGGGGGGGGGGGGGGGGGGGGGCAGATGATATTATTTTCAATTCTAGAGGTAGCATGCTCCCTCTGGCAACCCCCCCCCTTTTGTAAGTCCATGCTCGCGGAACTACCCGATAAACAGTTTGTTGAATGTTTGATCCCCCGCTCTATTAGAGGAACTCGATGCTCCACACTGCCGTGCTAAGGAAGAACGCCGCACGAGGCAACAGGCGTTGCCAAATCTCCTTCGAGAAATCTCGAATTTTCGGTATTATGTGTAAACTTTTTTAATCCAATTTGTTGCAGAATGTTGTTCGTGATTTGATCTAAAGTTTCTGGAAATTTAAAGGAAAAATATGCATAAGAGTCCTCAGAAATAAATATTTTCTCAGAGGAGATTTGGCAACATTCGAATGCTCATACGGCGTTTTTCCTTAGCACAGCAGCATATTTCGACTGCCGAAGCATGAAGAGAGTACGAACCCCGGCGTGACTCCGCNGGGGGGGGGGGGGGGGGGGGGTTCCAAAACGCGGAACCTTGGAGGGTATTATGAGTAAACTCGGCTCAACCCACGTGTTCATCTTAAGAAGCCGCTTCGGTGGCACGCTGCCTCCGTCCCCAAGTTTAATCTCATTTTTAATTACCGTCTCATAAACTACACCTGTTCGCCCACTATGTAGACTAATTACATTAAAGATGCGACACTCTAATCCTGTTTCACGCGCATTACGTTACGCCGTCTAAACAGACGCCCCGCGCCCCGGATCCGAAC